ACCGAGGTTGTTGAGACCATTCTCCAATCCAGAGCTCCCTCCACGAGGAAAATGTACGCCTTGAAGTGGAAACTTTTCACTTCTTGGTGCAGAGACCGCCAGCTAGACCCAGTTAACTGCCTGCTTGGTACAATGCTGGAGTTCTTGCAGGCCCGTTTCTCCACAGGGCTGACCCACTCCACCCTGAAGGTCTACGTGGTGGCTATTGCGGCCTACCATGCCCCTCTTGGTGGCCAGTCAGTGGGTAGACATCCCCTAGTTACACGTTTCCTCCGCGGTGCGCTGAGGCTGAGGCCTCCGGTACGATCTCGTGTCCCCACGTGGGACCTGGCTGTGGTGGTACAGGCTCTCTGTAGGCCTCCCTTCGAGCCTATTGAGGAATCGCTTCCTCGCTTCCTTACTATAAAGACTACCTTCCTTCTGGCGATATCTTCCCTCAAGAGAGTTGGGGATCTGCAGAGTGGCCCCGTGGCCCCGTCTTATCTTGACTTTGCACCCGGTTTGGCAAAAGCGTTTCTGTTCCCTCGAGCGGGGTATTCCTAAGGTCCCCTCCTCTACACCCTTTGAGGATCCAGACCAGCAGAGGCTAAACGGCATGTGTCCGGTGCGTGCACTGGATGCATACGTCCACAGAACTGCCCTGTGGAGGAGGGCGGACCAGTTGCTTGTTTGTTACGGTCCCCTTAAGAGAGGTCTGCCGGCAACTAAACAGACCCTCAGTCGGTGGATAGTGGATGCCATTTCCAGCTGTTATGAGTCCTCTGATCTCCCCTCGCCGTTAGGGGTCAAGGCTCACTCAACTCGTAGTGTGGCAGCCTCTAAGGCTTTTTTAGCGGGTGTTCCGATGCAGGACATCTGCAACGCGGCGTGTTGGTCCAGACTTGCGAGCCACTCCTGGCTCTTCTGTCCTCTCGCCCTAACTGTGCAATCTCCCACACTAGGCAGAGACTTAGAAGTCTGGCGGCATGGGCATTCTCGTTCCCCTAGCGTTTCCGACGCAGCTCGAGTTCCTGAAGAGGAATGTCTCAGGTTACGTATGTAACCCTAGTTCCTAGAGGGAACGAGACGCTACGTCTCGGTGCCAGACTTCTGGCGTCCCTGCCAGCACTTGCTTCACTCCTAGGAGCTGACGCTGGTCTCACCGCTCGTGCTTTTATAGCTTCCTGGTCATTACGTCACCCGCCGTGACGTCTCGCCCATCTATTGGTCTGATTACACACGAGGTTCAGAGCCCGTCACGCTGAAGGGCGTTCCCCTAGCGTTTCCGATGCAGCGTCTCGTTCCCTCGAGGAATTAGGGTTACATACGTAACCTGAGACGTTTTATATCCTACATTTAACAGTAATCTTTGGTTGTGGTATAGGCCTACTAATTTGTGTCTATTTTAAAATTCTAAGATACCGTGTGTGTGTGTGTTTTCTGTTGCAGCTTCACAGCTCATTCAAGTGCTCCAGTCTGGGTTTTGATTCTACATCATTCTTCGATATTCTACTTCATCTTTAAAAGTAAGATTACATAGAGTTTTAAACTTGATTTAGCCAACTATTTTGTCAAATACTGACACTACAGCTTAAACATGGAATAAATGTGCAATGTCAAAAGATTCATATCAATAGAGAATGGCAATGTGTTGATTGAAGAGAATGGTATTTCATGCAAATATTGATAAGGGCTATGGAAATTGATGATACAGTAAGTGTTAATCATTCCAACGCGATCTGTTGAGTCATATAAACATAAAATAATATAAAATGTCTACATTCACTACGGAACTCTGATGAAAATTAAACTGAAACTCGATATGGTAAACAACTAAAATAAAATGTGGCCTTATAATTGATATCTGTAGATTTATTATATTATATATACAGTGATTTGCATTAAACTGTAAGTGCTTGCACCACAAATAAAGAAAAATAATAATATATGGAAATGTTATCTGCGGCAGATCGTTGATACCCAGCCACTTGTTTGTACGTATTAAGTTTATTCATTTATTTGGTCGCTTGCATCCTTGTTCGACATCTCTAATAGTAAGGAATCTTCAACTTGATTCATTCAAGTTAAGTTATTTATTTACATAGCATTCACAATACACATCATTTCTAAGCAGCTTTATAGTAAGTTATTCTGTCACCTCTATAATGGCTTAATTCTACTGACACTACAGCTTAAACATGGAATAAATGTGCAATGTCAAAAGATTCATATCAATAGAGAATGGCAATGTGTTGATTGAAGAGAATGGTATTTCATGCAAATATTGATAAGGGCTATGGAAATTGATGATACAGTAAGTGTTAATCATTCCAACGCGATCTGTTGAGTCATATAAACATAAAATAATATAAAATGTCTACATTCACTACGGAACTCTGATGAAAATTAAACTGAAACTCGATATGGTAAACAACTAAAATAAAATGTGGCCTTATAATTGATATCTGTAGATTTATTATATTATATATACAGTGATTTGCATTAAACTGTAAGTGCTTGCACCACAAATAAAGAAAAATAATAATATATGGAAATGTTATCTGCGGCAGATCGTTGATACCCAGCCACTTGTTTGTACGTATTAAGTTTATTCATTTATTTGGTCGCTTGCATCCTTGTTCGACATCTCTAATAGTAAGGAATCTTCAACTTGATTCATTCAAGTTAAGTTATTTATTTACATAGCATTCACAATACACATCATTTCTAAGCAGCTTTATAGTAAGTTATTCTGTCACCTCTATAATGGCTTAATTCTTTAACACTGAGCAGTTTTACTGGGCAATATGGCGATATATAACAACGATAAATGATCCACCGTTTGAGATCTAGCTATAGTGTGTTCTCCCCTTACAAAATTAGCCATGGTTTTAACCATAGTTCAACCATGGTATTTCTAATAAAATTGTGGTTATATGAATGGTAACAAATATGGCAAAAACACGGTTGCTACACGTTTACTATAATAAAACCATGGTTAATTTTCGTAAGTGTTTTAGCAGTTATATCAGTACCACTTTAGTGAGGGAGACTGAATACTATGTAATGAATATCTGCAGCCTCTCAAGACACACAACAGAGCAATTTATTTTAATTGAAAGAGATTTACATATTAGTCTGTTTTATTCTAAGGGTACGTAAGATGTTTTTCAAAAAATATGAATGTAAAACAGTCAGCTTTTTCTGTGGTGATTAGCGTTTGTTTACACTGTGTGCTCCAGAGCGTGTCCTAAAACATGGAATGCAATGCGGCATGAAGTAGTTTCCCATTCTCTATATTTAAGGTTAAATGTTTACAACCCTATTTTTACAGCCTACATTTAACAGTAATCTTTGGTTGTGGTATACTAGTCTGTGTCTGTTTTTCTTTACAAATATATTCCCCACCTCTTGTAATGTTGTTTCAGATAATTTATATGAAATTAAGACATATTAAGATACTATGTGTTTGTGTGTGTGTTCTGTTGCAGCTTCACAGCTCATTCAAGTGCTCCAGTCTGATTCTACTTCATCCTTCGATATTCTACTTCATTTTTAAAAGTAAGATTAAATTACCTTTTTTAACTAGTTTGTCAAATACTGACAATGATACACACTTCAGCTTTTAATGTGTAATAATCTACTTTTAAATCCTACATTTAACAGTAATCTTTGGTTGTGGTATACTAGTCTGTGTCTGTTTTTCTTTACAAATATATTCCCCACCTCTTGTAATGTTGTTTCAGATAATTTATATGAAATTAAGACATATTAAGATACTATGTGTTTGTGTGTGTGTTCTGTTGCAGCTTCACAGCTCATTCAAGTGCTCCAGTCTGATTCTACTTCATCCTTCGATATTCTACTTCATTTTTAAAAGTAAGATTAAATTACCTTTTTTAACTAGTTTGTCAAATACTGACAATGATACACACTTCAGCTTTTAATGTGTAATAATCTACTTTTAAATCCTACATTTAACAGTAATCTTTGCTATGAGATATCATGAAATTTTGTATGAAAATGTGCTTGTGTGATTATAGGTGCTATGAGAAAAAGTCAACACCGATACTTGTTACTTATTTCAATGTTTTTGTCACACTCTTGTCCTAAGGTTATCATAGTCAGCCGGATCCGGTCCGTATCCATATCAGATGATGGACCTGCACCCTGAGACGACCACAACGCAGCCCTGAATGCCAGTGACCATCTTTGATCATTTATCCAGAGGAGAGCTGAGCCGACTGCTCCTGGTTTCTCCCAAGCTGTTTTTCCTTCGTTTCAGTCACCTGCTGGAGTTTGGGTTCCACTGTCACCTCTGGCTTGCTTAGCTGGGGGTTAAAAGACACTGAATATTCAAGAATAATATTGATTTGATTGTACTGACACTATTGCATAATGACAAGACTTGAACTGAACTGAGTTGGATTATGATATCACTGTTTTCTCCAGAGCTGCTTTATTGCAGAATCGACTTTGTTTCATAATGCATTAACTTTGCAAAATTTTCACTGATATTTAATTTTATTAAATCAACATCAAGCTGACACAAAGTGAATAATTAAACTTTTGTGTGCTATAAAATTCCTTATGGCTGAATTGAGCTAATTCATTCGTAAATATTAACTTTACAAAGTTATTGAACTGAATTGTCTTTTTAGAGGTAAAGTTTTTCATTAAATAAAACAATGTTTTTGTACAATTTGTGGTTGCATTTTATTTTTTTATTTTTCTTCATGTAATTACCTACTTTTTATAGTGTTTCATTATTACTGGCCAAGGAAAGTTTAGATTTTTTCAAGTTTTGAATGATTTTATGGTTTATTAATATTAATAAAGGGAGACATATTACACTTTTATAGAGCAGTCTAGTCTATATAATGTTTGTTGGCTCTATTTTAGGTATTTCCATCTAGTTTTGGCCAGATTACCCATTTTAAATAAGGTATAGACCCACTAAATGAACGGATCCACATTGGATCCGGTCCAGATGAGTTACATAATAAGCGGGTCCTGATCGGATCCGGTTCGGACCGTTTCTTTATCAATGGGTCCTGATCGGATCCGGGCTGGATGAGCTATTTCATGAATGGGTCCGGATCGGATCCGGGCCGGATGAACCGCTTTATTAGGTTTGGGTCCTTAATCCTTATCTGTTCCGGATCCATTGCGCTGTGCAAGTGGACTCCGATACGGACCCGTTTTGCGGATACGTTCCAGAGCTTGTGGTGACTCCGGGGCGTATCCGCTCTTTGCTATCTGGGTAGGCTCGAAGTTCGAAGTTCCCATGAAAGGGAACATCTCAGGTTACTTATGTAACCATGGTTCTCTGAGTAGGGAACGAGACACTGCGTCCTCTAGGTTTCTTGCCATGCTGCGGACGCAAGCTTCAGACGAAGAAGTGAATGATGTGTAGCTCCTGGTGCCTATTTATACTATAGTCGCACTGGTAGTGACGTCATGGCTGTCACCGGCCAACGAGTTGGTGTTTTTTCAATGTATGCTTTAGACACGGGTCACGACGAGGCGTTCCCCATAACGACCCCTAGAGGACGCAGTGTCTCGTTCCCTACTCAGGGAACCATGGTTACATAAGTAACCTGAGACGTTTTCCTGGGTCTGCGTGCAGTGGGCGGGCGTAAATATGTTAATGTTTTTTTGTTGACGTCAACTTGAAACAGCTTAAAATTCGTTTTAAAAACGACTTGTTTTCATGACTCGGAGTCGACTCTTTCTTTTGAAAGACAATACCTTTATACACGGTGCACTTTTAGATTTAAAACTTTGCAGGATGTTTTCATTCACTTCATTCACATAGTTGTGTTACCCACTGCATGAAAGGTAATTTTCAAAAATCCATAATAGGGGCACTTTAAAATAGCTTTTGCTTATTTATCTGCACATTTACTACATATTATATGCAGTAAATAAATACCGGAGCATGAATCAATGCACATTACATTAAACATTAATTCACCTGACCAACTCTCGGTTGCATTTAAAGTTCTCTCTCTCTCTCTCTTTCTCTCTTTTAAACCCTGAGACGTTTTCCTGGGTCTGCGTGCAGTGGGCGGGCGTAAATATGTTAATGTTTTTTTGTTGACGTCAACTTGAAACAGCTTAAAATTCGTTTTAAAAACGACTTGTTTTCATGACTCGGAGTCGACTCTTTCTTTTGAAAGACAATACCTTTATACACGGTGCACTTTTAGATTTAAAACTTTGCAGGATGTTTTCATTCACTTCATTCACATAGTTGTGTTACCCACTGCATGAAAGGTAATTTTCAAAAATCCATAATAGGGGCACTTTAAAATAGCTTTTGCTTATTTATCTGCACATTTACTACATATTGTATGCAGTAAATAAATACCGGAGCATGAATCAATGCACATTACATTAAACATTAATTCACCTGACCAACTCTCGGTTGCATTTAAAGTTCTCTCTCTCTCTCTCTTTCTCTCTTTTAAACATGTTGGTTAAGGTTTCTTATTTGTTATTTACAGACACTTTTGCTCATGTAGTCAGAGTGATGTGAACAGATATAAACACACTCACCTGATACGGTCAGTGTAACATTATCACTGGTGTGTGAGTATCGTGATCCTCCTGTTTCTCTTCCAGTACAGCTGTAATTACCTGTGTGAGATTCGCTAACAGAACTGATCCGGTATTCCTGCGATTGACTGACATTAATCACTGAATCATCTTTATTCCAGCTGTAGCTCCAGCTGGTGACGTCTGTCTCCTGTATGTCACATGTGAGAGTGACCGTCTGTCCTCTGAACACACGTCCATCAGGCTGGACACGCACTACAGGCTTGGGTCTCTCTGTGCAAAATAAACTGAAGTTTACTTTAACCGACAGCACATGATATTGTGGATGAATGCTGTTTATTTTCATAATTTTATAGTAAACTCAAAAGTCCTGTAAAAATAGCACTGACCTCCTACTGTTAGCATGACTCCTTGGCTTTGTGTGGTCTTTTTTTCTACATTACACGCATATCTTCCTCCATCAGAGACATTCACTTTTCTCAGTTTTTCTGTTTCAGAACCATCTTTTATTCTCTGAAAGTTTTTGAACCAGTAAATTGTCCTTCCAGTTGATCGTCCCTCATCACAGATGAGAGTAACTGTGTCTCCAGTGAATACTGAACTCTGGGGCTTTACAGTTAATTTGGGCATGTCTGTAAATATTTCATGATACAATCCTGAGTCATCATCTATCGCTGCTTATGATTTCTGTTATTTATATTAAATGTTTCTTAATTTTGCCTCACACGTCAGCTTATTGTATTTGTCATTATGAGTAATATAATTTTATGGCTGTTTTATGCTCTTCTAACATGAGAGGTCTCATAAAGACGACACATGAAGACACAAATCCTGTGAGACATGGCTCCTCAGATTGGGTGCTGAACTCACTTGGGTGCTCAACTTTCATTGTTACAATTATAGGAAGTATATTATTATCAGCCAAATTTCCATATGGCAGTAACATAAATAATATAATACACTTTATGTTGTTAGTTAATGTCAGGTATTGAGATTAAGCAGACACAATTAAAATTCAGTCTGTCTAACATATAGCATCTAGAAATGTTTACTAGTAGTTCCCTTTCATGGGAACTTCGAACTGTGTCCTCTAGGTGGCGCTATGGGGAACGCCTCGTCGTGACCCGTGTCTGAAGCGTACATTGAAAAAACACCAACACGTTGGCCGGCGACAGCCATGACGTCACTACCGGTGCGACTATAGTATAAATAAGCGCCGGGAGCACACATCATTCTCTTCTTCATCTTCATTGACTGTTCTGTTTGAAGCATGCATTTCCAAGGAAAAAAAGAAAAAAGTAAGAGCTATCTCTATTTATTATGGCGAGCACTAGCAGAGCATTTAGAAGGTGTGTGCATCCGTGTCATCGCTATTTGACACCAGATGACACACACGATCTATGTGTTGTTTGTTTGGGCGAAGAGCACGCACGCAATGTCCTCGAAGGGGCAGTCTGCGTGCATTGCAAGCTTTTTCCAATGAAAAAGCTCCGTTCTCGTTTGTCTCTCTTTTCAAGTAAAGAGGGGCAGCCATCTGCTCCCCGCGGTTCAGGACCCGCTGCTGCTGAGGCACGGAGGAGAATGAGCTAGTGGGGATCTCAGGTGGACCTGGCCAATGAGTTTAGACAGGGGCTTTCCTTCTCGTGCTCATCGGCGGCGGGCGAGAGACAGCCGCTGGAGGATGATGTTCTCTCTTTGACATCATCTGATCCAGGGTCCAGTGCTCTGCTGGGTCCAGCCCAGGAAGAGCAGGAAATGAATGAAGAGAGCGAAGAAGCTGAGGCTGAGCTTTCTCAATCCTCCTGCCCTGCGTATGATGAGCTCTTAGAGGTTATGGATTGCGCCACGGCAAGACTTGACTTGCGGACTAAGGAAGTGACGTCGCGAGGTTGTCTCGTGGAACGTTATCTTTCTGGCCATAACCCTCCAGCTCAGGTGAGCCTTCCTTTCCTTCCTGATCTCCATACTGAGATCGAGAAGGAATGGAAGAGGCCGTTTTCCTCACGCATCCATCGTTTTCAGCATACCAGTTATGCGAACATCGAGGCGATG